AATGACAGAGGATTTGATTTTAGGTTTTAAACTTTTAGCTAGGAAAGATAAGACAGCAGCTTGTTTAAATTCTTTTTATGCCATTAGAGTGTAAATTCTATGAGAGATTTTTATGTTTTAATCACTAGTGTATTCTCATCATCTAAAAATAGTGTCTGGTACATAGTAGGTGGCTCAAATATTTGTTGAATGGGTATTGAATACATCTGATTTTACTTTTGTAACTTAAATGAGGATCATCTTTTAGTCTTTGTATTTTAAAGAATACACTTAATATTCATTTTCTTTATTAAATTGTATTGATCTTAGAAATCTAGGTTTTAAATGTTTATATAAAGTCTATTACCTCCTAATTCTATACACTTCCAAATTACCATTTTCTTTGGTTTTGTTAATTCTAAAAAAATTGACCTACTAGTGCCAAGCGGATCTGATCCCTTAGAATATGGAAGAATAAACTTAAGATTCAAAATGTAGGCAATTACTTTAAGTGTGACATTCCTAAGGCCATGCTGATGAGTATAAAACATTTAGCTTTAGATGATAGTTTCTCAACCTCTGCACTATTGACATTTTGGGCTTGATCATTCTTTGTTGGTGGGAGGAGCTGTTGTGTGCATATCATAGACTGTTCAGCAGCAACCCTGGCTTCTACCCTCTACATCCAGCAGCATTCCCCCAGTGCTGTCAACCAAAAATGTCTCCAGACATTGTCAAATGTCTTCTGAGGGTCAAAATTGTCCTTGGTTGAGAACCACTGTTTTAGATATTGGGACTATACTGGCAAAACAGGTTTACCTGATAGCAAAAATGATCAAAACACTCTATGAGTTAAATACAAATGTTTCCTTTCAATTGCTAAGAAGATACAGCAAATTTGAACCTAATCAAACCCATTATAAACACAATACATATAATATGAGAGAGGCAGATAAATTCTAGGATTTTATAAACCATGTAACTGTACTCCATTGAAGTCAAAGAATTTCAGAAAGGAAGAGCCTTTCAAGTCATTTATTGTAAGCTCATTTGATGTACTGGAATCTAAATAGATAAATAACTTGCTCAAGTCTTACAGTCAGTAAATGGCACCTTAATGAGTAGTACCACCAATACTTGTCTAGCAGCTGTCTGGAAGAAATAAGTGTGTAGCCCTTAGAGTTCCCAGTATGGTGTAGTATATTATAGACAGTAAGGGACACACAGCTGGACTAGTGTTCCTAAACTGCTACAAGAAGAAAGCATCACTTGATGCCTACAAAAGACAGATGGAGTATCATACTAATAAACTAAAGAAACTTATAATTCTGGCTGAAAATATAAGCAGGTTCAGAAATGGCCAATTTCAGTAGTAAAGATAGCACAAACAGTTCTAAAAACTTGGGCTTAGATTTTGAGAGTCAGTCTATCAAAAACACTGAATGCCCCTATTTATGAAGTTTGATATTGAGAGACCTTTTTTTCTGAGACTCATTTTCAAACTTGCACAGAAAAATCTGAAAGATAATGTGCCATAATTCATATAACCTTTGCAGACATGCTCCCAACAGCAACCTTGACCTATTGGTCAGCCAAATGACTGTGTGGGTACATACAGCACTTATACAAATAATCCTCATTTCAATTTCCTAAGCTCTGGTGAGAGGGGGAGTAAGTGAAAATATTCTCCCAGGAATTATACTGAAAACCATCTTTGACCTCTGAAATATCAACACTGAAGTGGCTCTTTTCCTTTTACTGATTTTAGAATTCTACATGAGAAAGAAAGAACTTCTGAAATTAAGAATATTTAAAACATTAAAAAACTGAAAAACAGGATATACTCTATTAATTGAGCATATAGACAAAATACTAATAATTAACAAGTGCTGTGACCCTTGGTTAAATAGAACATCAACGTTTATCAAATAATAAGCTTTGGTAGATCAATATAACTTTCATTGATCTCATTCAACAAACATTTAGTTGTGTACCAAAAATGCACTGGCCCTATGCCGGCAATGGGGATAAAGTAACGAAAAAGAGACAGGGTCCTTGTTCTCCAAGAATTATTATCACACTGAGGAATAAAATTCAGGTCATATTTTAACCATTTCATACACAGAATGATAGATACAGGGAGTACAAGGTGTTCAACCATAGATTCTTTTTATTATTGGATTGATTGAGGAAATAGAGGAAATAATTTCAAATACGATACTATGAATAATTGTACCTTGCTTTGGATTAATGTTACTTTCTAAAAAGGAAAAGGATTTTGAAGAGACATTTGTGAGACTCCATGAAATAATTAGTAATGCAATGTACTTTAGAAAAATAAGGGGTTATGTAAATATTAAACTACAATTCTGGTTAAGCCATTTTTATAACAACAATCTTTTCCCTTGATTAAATGCTTACTCTGTGCCAGGCCCTGTTAAATACTTTATATTATCTCACTTAATCCTTTTAAATGCTCTTTTATATTAACTCATATAACACTCAGTCATTCAATGAGGTGGGTACTGTTAACTCCAGCTTACAGATAAGAATGCTGACACTTACAGAAGTAACTTGCCCAAGGTCGCAAGGATAGTAAGCAGGGAAGCTGGGCGTCTAACTCTGTTCTGATGGATTCAGAACCTGCTGTGCTCCTTCTACCACTTTTGCCTCCCCTCCCTCCCTTTCTTTCTGCTACTTTTGCCAGGCAGAGTCGGGGAAGAGCATTTTGCACAAAGGGACTAGCTTGTGCAATGGTCCAGAGGTAGTAAAAAATTTGTTAAAGAAATTTTAAAAAGACTAGGTACATACTCAGGGTTGGAGAGAGTGGTATGAAATGAGACTGGAAGTAAGCAGGGGGCTAAATTATAAACCATGGATCTTATGAACCATGTATTTGGTTCTGTGGATTTGGGGTTTTAGCCTACCTGCAGAGAAAAAAACCACTGAAGGATTTTAAGCACGTAAGTCATTCAATCAGATGTATATTTTAAAAAGATTAATCTGGCTGCCGATAGAAAATGGGTCAGATACAAGACAAGAGTCCAATTAGAAGGCCATGTCAATAGTGTAGGCAAGAGATGATAGTAGTTTGGTGGAGATGATGATAAGTGAATAAACTGGAGAAACATTTTAGAAGTAGTACTGACAACATTTGGAGATGGATTAGAAGACAGAGGTGGGTAAGAGATGTCAGGATCACTTCTGGGTTTCAAATATTGATATCTTTTAGACAAGAAAGAAATTTAACATCAACCAGAAGAGCAAGATTAATGCTCAGATTATTCTAGGTTATTTTAGGATCTGTTTACCCAAAACTCATTGTATTAGTTTCCTAGGACTGCTGTAACAAATTACTACAAACTAGGTGGCTTAAAACAACAGAGATTTATTCTCTCACAGTTCTGGAGGCTAGAAATCTGAAATCAAAGTGTGGGTAGGGTCAAGCTACCTCTGAAGGCTCCAGGGAAGAATTCTTCCTTGCTTCTTCCCAGCTCTGGTAACTCCTGGCAATCTTTGGGATTTTTTGGCTTGTAGCTGCGATCACTCCAATCTCTGCCTCTGTCTTCACACTGCCTTCTCTGTGTGTCTGCGCCCTTTTGCCTTCTAGAAAGCACACTAGTCATTGGATTTATGGCTCACTCTAAATCCAGGATGATTTCAACTCAAGATTCTTAACTAATTACATCTACAAATAGGATCTATTTCTAAATAAGGTTGCATTTTGAAGTTCCAGGTGGACATGAAGTTTTGGGGAATACTGTTCATCTCACTACACTTACCATTATTTTTACTGAATTTATTTTTTTTGTTATCATTATCATCATCACTACTACCATTACCATAACTCTCAATTAGCACCTACTAGGCAAGAGGTACTGCTCCAAAGTATTAATATATATTCGTGCTGGGGTCACAAGTATTGAGAGACCCCAAGATCACATCCACGTTTGCTAGGAGGACTCAAAGGACTCAGCATATAGTTGTACTCATGGCTACAATTTATTACAGTGCAAGGACACAAAGCAAAATCAGCAAAGGGAAAAGGTGCTTAGGTAAGTCTGGAGGAAACCAGGTACGAGTTTCCAAGTGAAGTCACAGAGGACACACTTAATTCCTCCAGCATTGAACTATGACAATACACACGAAGTGTTGTCTATCAGGGAAGCTCATTAGAGACTCAGTACCCAAGTTGCTATTGAGTGCTGATCATGTAGATACATTCTGCCTACCAAACACCAAAATTCCAGACTCCCAGAGGGAAAGCACGTGTTCAGCATAAACCACATTGTACAAACACTCTACATACACAATAAGCCACTTTTATCAGTTAGGGAATAGAGGGAACACTCCTGAAATTCAAGTTCCCAGATTTCAGCCAAGGGCCCCCTTGAAAGTAGGCCTTTCTAAAGGTAGTAGTCGCAGGCCTGCTATGTGAGCTCTTTTCTGCACATGTTATTTCACTTAATCATCACAACAAAGAAATTAAAGTTCAGTTGTCTTAAATAATGTTTCCAAGATTACACTACTATAGGTTAGTAGTTGACAGAGAAACTGGGATTCAAAAGTAGGCAATCTGATTCTAGATCTTTATGCTTGTCCATTATGCTTGGCTGCCTAGTTTCTGAGAACTTAGTAAAATGAAAAAAAAAAAGTTTACAATAGTGTCACATTGGAGAGAACTGACAAAAGCAAGTAGCAAGAAGGTTATGATATTTAGACAGATTATAAAGTGAATAATAAAGTAGCCATAATATAATGGAAACTCAATCAAAATAAATATTGGGTTAAATAATTTTATAGACACTATTTACAGACTTTTAATGTTTAAGAAAAACAAAATTACCAGCATATTGGGAATTTTAATATTTTAAGAAGATTAAAGAAAGCTAAAGTTTTAGTCAAATTAACACAATTGAGGGATTAAGAGGTTTACATTCACCTTTGTGGAAAAATAAAAAAATAAAAAGAGTACATGTATGTGCTATAGCAGAGGGAAGCCTATTAGAATTATTTTTTACCTAATGGAGTGATGTCCTGAAGTATAGTCCAGTTTTCCAAATTTTTGTGTCCGGTAGCCATGCTTCTTCATGACATCCATCCATGTTGTATAATTTGGATCTAGGCCCTTAAAGTTATTCCAAGATTCTGTTAAGTGAGTGAAGAGACCACTCCACATTGCTGGAAAATAAAAAAGAAATTGAGATTAGTGTAAAGCTTAACAGTTTGTTTTAACTATTAAGACAATTACTCCAAGAGAGAAGAGAGTCTACTAATTTAGAGCTCATGCTCTGGAATAAGTCACAATCTGCATTAGGTGCTTTACCCAACACTTCTGATTGTTACCTCATTTTATCAAGGGGAAAACTCTGCAAGGAGTTACTAGTTCCATTTTACAGGTGAGTCTCTAAGGCTTACAGGTTAAATTGCTTAAGGTAAATGCAGCTGGAATGGAATGTAAAGCCTGTCTGATGTTCGAGTCTTCTTTCATTCATAAAAATACTCACTAAGTATTTATTGGTTAATTTTCCAAGTTAGTCAATTGAAGTACAGATCTCATTTCCCCAACATCCTCAAGGATTTTCCCTATTCCTTGTCCTTGTACTGGCTTTCCACAAAAAATTTAAGTGTATATGTCTTCTCTCTCATTTTCTACATCTATGATTGTTTATTCAATAAATCGTTCTTCAAATATTAACAGACCTAAAGGGAGAAATAGACAGCAATACAATAATACTAGGGGACTTCAATACCCGACTTTCAACAATGGATAGATAATCCAGATAGAAAATCAATAAGGAAACACTGGACTTAACCCTTACATTAGACCAGATGGACATAACAGACATATATAGAACATTCAATCCAAAAGCAACAGAATTCACACATTCTTCTTCAGTGCACATGGAAAATTCTCTAGGATAGGTCATATGTTAGGCCACAAAACATGTCTTAAGAAATTTTAGAAGATTGAAATCATATCAAGCATCTTTTCTGACCACAACAGTATGAAATCATAAATCAAACATAAGAAGAAAACTGAAAAATTCACAAATACATGGAAATTAAATGACATGCTACTGAAGACCCAATGAGTCAAAGAAAAAAATCAAAAGAGAAATAAAAAAAACCTTGAAACAAATGAAAATGCAAATACAACATACCAAAACTAACAGGATGCAGAAAAAGCAATTCTAAGAGAGAAGTTCATAGTGAAAAATACTTGTATTAAAAAAAAGACAGAGGGTCTGGCCCAGTGGCGCAAACAGTTAAGTGCGCGTGCTCCGCTGCGGCAGCCCGGGGTTCGCAGGTTCAGATCCCGGGTGCGCACGGACGCACCGCTTGGCAAGCCATGCTGTGGCGGCATCTCATATAAAGTAGAGGAAGATGGGCATGGATGTTAGCCCAGGGCCAGTCTTCCTCAGCAAAAAGAAGAGGATTTGGCAGATGTTAGCTCAGGGCCGATCTTCCTCACAAAAAAAAAAAAAAGAAAGAGTTCAAACAAACAATCTAACTTTATACCTCAAGAAATTAGAAGAAAGAACAAACTAAGTTCAAAGTTAGTAGAAGAAAGGAAATAACAAAGATCAGAGTGGAAATAAATGAAGTAGAGACTAAAAAGACAATAGAAAAGCTCAATGAAACTAACAGCTGGTTTTTGAAAAATATATACAAAATAGACAAACCTTTAGCTAGACTTACCAACAAAAAAAGAAGACTCAACGAAGTAAAATTAGAAATGAAAAAGGAGATGTTACAACTGATACCACAGAAATACAAAGGATCATAATATATCACTATGAACAAGTATATGCCAACAAATTGGACAACCTATAAGAAATGGATAAATTCCTAGAAACATACAACCTACCAAGACTGTCTTAAGAGACCAATTATGAGTAAGGTTATTGAACTAGTAATCAAAAATCTCCCAACAAACAAAAGTCCAGGAACAGACTGCTTCACTGGCGAATTCTACCAAACATTTAAAGAAGACTTAATATCAATCCTTCTTAAACTCTTCCAAAAAATAGAAGAGGAGGGAACACTTCCAAACTCATTTTACAAGGTCAGCATTATCCTGATACTAAAACCAAATAGGTATACTATAAGAAAAGAAAATTACAGGCCAATATCCCTGATGAACACAGATGCAAAAATTCTCAACAAAATACTGGCAAAGCAAATTGAACAATACGTTAACAGGATCATACACCACGATCAAGTAGGATTTATTCTAGGGATGCCAGGATGATTCATCCACAAGTCAATCAATGTGATACACCACATTAACAAAATGAATGATAAAAATCATATGAGCATCTCAGCGGATGCAGAAAAAAGCATTTGACAAAATTCAACATCCATTTATGATAAAAACTCTCAAAAAGCTGCGTATACAGAAAACATACCTCAACATAATAAAGGCCATATATAACAAGCCCGCAGCTAACATCATATTCAATGATGAAAAGCTGAAAGCTTTACCTCTAAGATCAGGAACAAGACAAGAATGCCCACTCTCATCACTCTCATTTGACATAGTCCTGGAAGTCCTAGCCAGAGCAATTAGGCAAGAAAAAGAAATAAAAGGCATCCAAATAGGAAAGGAAGAAGTAAAACTGTCTCTATTTGCAGATGACATGACATTATATATAGAAAATGCTGAAGACTCTACCAAAAAACTGTTAGAACTAATCAATGAATTTGGTAAAACCACAAGATACAAAATTATTATATAAAAATCCGTTGCATTTATATACATTAACAATAAACTATCAGAAAGAGAAATTAAGAAAACAATCCCATTTACAATTGCATCAAAAGAATAAAATACCTAGGGATAAATTTAACAAAGGAGGTGAAAGATCTGTACACTGAAAACTATCTTGACATGATGAAAGAAACTGAAGAAGACACAAATAAATGGAAGGATTCTGTGCTCATGGATTGGAAGAACTAATATTGTTAAAATGTCCATACTACTCCAAGCAATCTATGGATTCAACGTAATTCCCAAAATTCCAATGGCATTTTTCAAAGAAATAGAACAAACAATCCTAAAATTTGTGTGGAATCACATAAGACCCCAAATAGCCAAAGCAATCTTGAGAAAGAAGAACAAAGCTAGAGGTATCACACTTCTGATTTCAAATTATATTACAAAGCCATAATCATCAAACAGTATGGTACTGGCATAAAAATAGACACAGATGAAAACAGAATAAAGAGCCCAGAAATAAATTCATGCATACATGGTCAATTAATTTATGACAAAGAAGCCAAGAATATACAATGGGGAAAGGATAGTCTCTTCAATAAATGGCACTGGGAAAACTGGACCCCTTATTACACCATACACAAAAGTCAACTCAAAATGGATTCAAGACTTGAATGTAAGACGTGAAACCATGAAACTTCTAGAAGAAAAGATAGGGGGTAAGCTCCTTGACACTGGTCTTGACAATAATTTTTTGGATTTGACACCAAAAGCAAAGGCAACAAAAATAAAATTAAACAAATGCGACTACATCAAACTAAAAAGCTTCTGCACGGCAAAAGAAACCATCAACAAAATGAAAAGGCAACCTATGGAATGGGAGAAAATATTTGCAAATCACTATCTGATAATGGTTTAACAGCCAAACTATATAAAGAAACAGGTACATGAAACCTGCCAACAGGTACATGAAAAGGTGCTCAACAGCACTAATCATCATGAAAATGCAAATCAAAACCTCAATGAGATATCACCTCACAACTATTTAAATGGCTATCATCAAAAAGACAAGAGATAACAAGTGTTGGTGAAGATGTGGAGAAAGAGAACCCTCATGCACTGGTGGTGGGAATGTAAACTGGTGAAGACAATTTGAAGGTTCCTCAAAAAATTACAACTAGAACTACCATACAATCCAGCAATTTCATTTCTGGGTATATACCCAAAGGAAATGAAATCCCTATCTTGGAGATATCTGCACCCCCATGTTCATTGCAGCATTATTTACAATAGCCAAGACATGGAAACAACCTAAGTGTCCATCAATGGATGAATGGATTAAAAAAAATGGATGTGAGATACACACACACACACAGAGGAATATTATTCAGCCATAAAAAAGAAGGAAGTCCTTCCTTTTGCGACAACATGGACAGACCGTTGAGGGCATTAGGCAAAGTGAAATGAGTCAGACAAAGACAGAAACTGTATGATCTCACTTACATGTGGAGTCTTAAAAAAAACTGAACTCATGGAAACAGAAGAGATTGGTGGTTGCCAGAGGCAGAGGTTGAGGGGGTGGCGGAAATGGGTGATGCTGGTGAAAAGACACAAACTTCCAGTTATAAGATAAATAAGTTCTGGGGATGTAATGTACAGCATGGTGTAACTATAGTTAATACTGTATTGTGTATTTGCAAGTTGCTAAGAGAGTAGATCTTAAAAGTTCTTACCATAAGAAAAAAAATTCCTAACTATGTGAGGTGACAGATGTTAACTAACCTTATTGTGATAATCATTTTGCAATATATACACATATCAAATCATTATGTTGTATGTCTTAAATTAATACAATGTTTTATGTCAATTACATGTCAATAAAACCAGGAAAAAAAAATCCTTCTTTTCTTTTTCTCATTTCTGTGTACACACATAGTGGGTTTGTATAAACTTTCTGTTCTCATCTACAAAATGCTTTCTTTCTGAGGAGTAGCATGGAGGATTACCTGGGTTCGAATCCCAATAATGCCAGTTACTGAGTGGCTTTTGACAAGTTACTTAAACTTTCTGTACTTTAGTTTTCATCTGCAAAATGTGGATCATAACAGCTACAAAATGAGGATTATATAAATTAATACATGTAAGGCACTTAGCAGATTGCCAGGCACACAGGAAGTATGCAATAAATGTTAGTTTTTCTTACTATTACTCCTTCTCTTTGTTCAAACTCTTCAAAATATACTTCTTTTAGGAAAAATATCACCTAACATTTTGGAAATTTTTGAGTTTATTGAGTGCTTTTTCATTCATTATTTGCTGCTCAGAACAACCCTGTGAGGTATACAGCATATAACAGCATTTTGTAGATAATGAAACTGAGTGACTTGCTTGACACGGCCTGTTGAGGATCAGAATCCAGGTCATCACCTCATCCTAGTCCACTGCTCATTCCACTTGCTCAGTAAAGAATATAAAATTAACAAACTGTTTTAATATACTTGTTCCTTCATCATTGAAATATCATTTATAATATATTAGGTTTCCTTTAATTGTTGGTGACTATATAGTTGATAGTGCTGCAAATGCAGGCAAAAGAACCTGTGAACTCAAATCACAGAGAATATCGTGTCAGGAACTTACAGACAAAAGCAAATTGCTGGGTGCTATTTATGGGTTCTGAGGCGAACAATCATAAATTAGAAAGACAGAGGAAAAAGAAAGAACTCTGTCAGACAAGAGAGAGAAATTATAAAAATGACAGTTTCCCCCTATTTCTCAATTATTCATGACTAACGTCACTGACATTATGCCATTAAAACTATGCCTATTTGTTAAATAACTATAATAAAAGTGAACAATTAGATTTGGGATAAAGTGAATTGAGACTGAAGAGAAAGAGATAAAATACGTAATCTGAAATAATATGGAAAAACTAAGATATCCCTGATATATGAGAAGTCCTAACTACTTTGTGGTATACTCTGAAGTCCCCTCCCAACTTCCTGCACTACTGCTGAAAAATTTTCCTTGGAAATAGAACTATTCTAGGAAATATGAGTATTAGCTCATTTGCTTGGACAGTCAAAAGATTCTTAGTCACCAATCATAAGGAAAGGAAACAGAAGCACATGAACTAAACACCATATTAGAAGATAAAAATTCCTACTCTTGAAAAACAGAAATTCTAGTAACTCCAATACCCAATGCATACTTTAAAACATACACAACTTATATTAAAATTTTTTTTTATTAGGTGCCAAATCTGACTTACAATCCCACCTTTGGGTATACTCTTTTAAATTGTGAAAATATTTTCAGTGTGTGGCCACTTTCTTCCATTAATATTACACTTGGTCATACCTGCGCGTGATGGGCAACAGATTGGAGAGTTTGTGTAGGCATTCAGAAAGGAAGTGCCATGTGCTTTCATGAAGTTGATAAAAGGAAGTTTCACTACCTGACTTCCTGGATAAAATGTTAGCCTTCCATCCTGAAATAAAGAAATTTAATCAACACTGATTGCATCACAAAGAAGAAAATTAATTCCTTTAATTTTAACCATAAAATTCACAAGTAGCAAAAGACTACAATATGATCCTAAGAATCCTCAAAAGGTAAAATCAATTGGGCCTGCCTGGTGGCGCAGCGGTTAAGTGTGCACACTCCACTTCGGTGGCCCGGGGTTCGCAGGTTCGGATCCCAGGCGCGCACACATGCACTGCTTGTCAAGCCATGCTGTGGCAGCATCCCATATAAAGTAGAGGAAGATCCGTACGGTGGTTAGTCCAGGGCCAATCTTCCTCAGCAAAAAGAGGAGGAGTGACATTGGATGTTAGCTCAGGGCTGGTCTTCCTCACCAAAAAAAAAAAAAAAAAGATAAAATCAAGCATAGAGAGTGTTATCAGTATCTGGGTCATAATACTGAGAATTCACCGCAGTGTTACACTTGGATCATTTGAATATAGTAAATAAAGGACCTCCCGGAAATTCTTTTGGTGGATGATGAACTGATTGAATAAATACTGAGTATTTACTATGTGCCAGGCACTGTGAAAGATCTGGAGATACAATGGTGAATAAAATAGAGTCCCTGGGCCCATGAACCTTACAGTCTAGTGGGGAAAGCAAAAAGTACACTGGTAAATAAACCATGAATAATTATAAATTGTGATATGTGTTTTGAAAAAAACCTGAGACACAGAATAACAAGGGAGACCTACTTTAGATAGAGTGGACAGGAGAGGTTTCTCTGGGAAGTATGAGACCTAAAGAATGAGAAGGATCCAGTCACTCAAATAATTTAAGGGACATGTAAAGTTAGAGATACCTGCAAGACGTAAGTGGAGATATCAATTAGGCAGCTAGATAAATGAGCCTGAAGATTAGAAGAGATGTTTGGGTTGCAGATATGCATTTTGGAATTGAATTGGGAATTGAACTCTACTTGGTAAAGACAAAAGATAGAAATAAGAATATTCTAGTTCTAGAGTTATATCTATTATATGTTTTCAATATAATTATAAATAAAAAATACAGTTTTAAAAATGAGCCAATCCAAAGTACAGGATAAATAAACTCTTGAGATGTCTGAGATTTCCAAATGGATATATAAAGAAGGCTGTTGGGTACAGACAGGAATCTGGAGCTCAGACAAGTCTATCCTAGTGAAATAAACTTGGGAGTCTTTAGCATATTCATGGTATTGAAGCCTGTAAGATTGAATTAAATCTTTTAGGGAGAGAGTGAAAAGAGAGGAAAGAAAGGAACGCAGTGGAAGCCCGACAAGTCCCAAATAAGAGAAGGCAGCATGCGAAACTGAGAAAGAATGGCCAGTGAGGGAGGAAGATATCAGGAGACTGAGTCTCATGAAAGCTGAGAGAAGACAGTGCGTCAAGAAAGAGGTAAAGTTAGCTGTGTTCAGAGGGTACCTAAAATAAGGCCAGAAAGTGCACATTGGAATGATAGTATGGAGATAGTTGGTGATCTCGACAAGAGCACTTTCAACGGAGTGGTAGGGATGGGCAGCTAAACTAGAAAGGGGAAAAGGGAATGGAAGGTGAGATAGGAGGTGAAAAAAAACCTTTTAAGAAGTTATTTTGCAAAGGGAAACAGAAAAATGGGATGGATGTTAGAGAATGGAGTGTTAGCTGGAGGAGAATGTGGGATTAAAGTCAGCTTTTTTAAAGAAAAATTAGAGCCTACTTGTATGTCGAAATAAACAACCACAGGAGTAATCACTGAATGCCTAGCAAATAACTACTGATTCCTGAATGATGAGCTGGGAAGCCCACGACAAAAGTGCATATTCTCCCCCTCATAAGAATTTCTTTAAACCCATAAATTCAAACTCTCAGAAACTTATCCTCACAACTCCCAAATGCCTACATGTCTTATTCTTACTATCTTTTGGACATGGGGGATAATAACCATTTGTGGCCACTACTTGGAATCTAGACTACCCAGCCACTCAGGCTTATCTGGTTGGAGGGATGGAGCAGGTCCACGGCAGAAGCACTGTGATGCTATATAATTCAAATATTGAGGCTTGGACTCCAAGTCCTGCAGGCTAGGTTCAAACTGGCGTAATTACCACCGCAAATGGCTACTGCAGCATATCAATAACTCATGCATCAGATTAAAATCCATGTTAGTGATTTCTTGACTCATTTCTATGACTGGTACGAGGACTTCATCTATATTGAAAGCAAGAATCTTTAAAGTGCAGAGCAACAGGGATGGCAAGAGGGGGAGGAGTAACTGCCCCATTTGGGGAAGTTCCTAACGCGGAATCTGTGAAAGGTGGTCTATGTCAAGATCACTGCCTGAGATATTAGGCACTCAATAAATATTTAGGGAATAAAGTGAAATGAATCTTTAATCCAGAGCTGTTCAGTCTACAAAAGACAAATTTAATATGTTCAAAATTCAACAGTGTATTTTTGCATAGCTTAATAAACCTGGATTAAGTACATCAATGACAAGATTTCTATATGATTAGGTTCTTAGGAAATATTTAAATTATGATACACATATTCTCAATGTCAAAAGCATACCAATAATACTCTAAATCAGGATCAAAATTATATTATTAGAGAAAATATTAAATATTTTCTACAAGTTTTGGTTTTTAACTTCCTGTAGTTTTTACACACTAGCAAATAATTTTAAAAATAGGCTAAGAGTGGTACCACTGATAATGGTATCAATGGGAGATGATGCACCTAATAATTCTGAACTGAAATGGATCTTAACATGGCTAGCTGATGAAAAACACAGAAAAAGTAAGTTTTCCATAGTACGGTAATGTGGATTACAATGGATAGTCAGTCATAGGTCAAAGTACAGTTGTATCAAATTTAGTTGGGAGAGAAAACCATGCAGAATGGCTTTCAGGATAACTTCTATAATTTACTAACAGCCCATTTCAATTTTCTCAAGGCCATGCCTATGTTTCAAACAAATTAAGTACTCTAACACTGGGCATCTGAAAAGTAAACAGAGGCCCATTAATTGGCTTTCTGCATAAAAGTGACAAATAATACCAATAGCCTTAATTTCTGCATTCTGCTATTATTCTTGACTCTCACGGGTCCAGGCATTTTCCCCCTTGGGATGGATGAGCCTTTTGGTAGATATGAATTTGTGATTTGAATTGCTCATTCAAGAACCATGATTGGTACTCAGTTCCTCATTATCCTGGGCCAGGAAAAACCAGTGAAGTTTAGATGTCAAGACATCACTCTAATGAAAGAACGTAACAGTAACTTGAACTGTCTGCTCTGTTATCACCACGAATAGCATTCTTCTCAGATCTGTCTATTAGACTGAATGAGATTCTCACTAGACTCTATGGTATACATTCCTGTCTCCACCATCCACTCCTAAAACCTCACTAAATCTAAAACCAAAGCAGGTGCGGGGGTGGGAGGAGGGAGGCGAAGAGGATGTGTATGTCCTTTGAGACTCAAGTACAAGTGCTTATTTTCTCTTTTTCAAAAATGGGTTTATTAAGATCTAATCCACATACCATACAACTCACCCATTCAATGTGTACAATTAAGTGGTTTTTAATATATTCAGAGAGTCATGCAACCATCACCACAATCGATTTTAGAATATTCTCATCATCCCAAAAAGAAACCTTGCACTCCTTAACCATCACCCTCTAATCCTCCCATTCCCCCAAACCTTAGGCAATTGCTAATCCTTCTGTCTCTACTTTCTGTCTCTGTAGACTTGCTTTCTCTGGACATTTCTTATAAATAGAATCATACACAATATGTGGTCCTTTGTGATTAGCTTTTTCCATTTAGCATAATGACTTCTAGGTTCATCTATATTGCAGCATGTATGAATACTGCATTTATTTTTTATTGTTGAATAATATTACTAAATTTTATCTATCCATTTATCAGTTGATGGATGGATATTTGGGTTGTTTCTACTTTTTGGCAGTATTATATATAACACTGTTATGAATATTCATGTACAAGTTTTTGTGTGGACCTATGTTTTCATTTCTCTTGGATATATACCTAGAAGTGAAATTGCTGGATCATATGGTAACTCATGTTTAACCATTTCAGGAATTGCTGAATTGTTTTCCAAAGTGGCTGCACAACTTTACATTTCCACCAGTAGTGTACGAGGATTACAATTCCCCCATATCCTTGCCAACTCTGGTTATTGTATCTTTTTGATTACAGCTGTCTTAGCAGGTGTAAATTGGTGTCTTACTGTGCTTTTGATTTGCATTTCCCTAATAATTAATGATGTTGAGTATATTTTGATGTGCTTATTGGCCATTTGTTTATCTTCTTTGGCGAACTGTCTATTCAGATCTTTTGCCCATTTTTTAATTGCCTAATCCAAGGTGACAAAGATTTGCCTCTATGTTTTCTTCTACAAGTTTTATAGTTTTAGCTTTTATGTTTGAATCATCGATTCATTTTGAGTTAATTTTTGAAAATGGTGTGAGGCAGAGTCCAATTTCATTCTTTTGCAAGTGGATATTCAGTTTTCCCAGCACTATTTGTTGAAAAGACTGTTCTTTCCCTATTAAATGGTCTTGGCACTGTTGCTGAAAATCAATTGACTATAAATGTGAGAGTTTATCTCTGTACTTTTAATTCTATTCCATTGATCTATATGTCTATCTATCCTTATGCCAGTAACACATTATCTCGATTACTACAGTTTGTAGTAAGTTTTGAAATTAGAAAGTTTAAGTCCTCCAACTTTGTTCTTTTACAAGATTGTCTCGGCTGTTCTGGTCCCCTTGAATTTCCATATGAATTTTAGGATGGGTTTTTCTGTTTCTGCAAAAATGTCATAGGGATTTTTATAGAGATTGCATTGAATCTGTAGATCATTTTGGTGATTATTACTATATTAACAATATTAAATCATCTGATCCAGAAACATGGGATGTCTTTCCATTTATTTAGGTGTTATTTAATTTTTTCCAACAATGTTTTGTAGTTTTCAGAGTATAAGAATTGCACTTCTTCGGTTAGATTTATTTCTAAGTATTTCATTCTTTTTGATGTATTTTATTTTTTTTATTTATTTATTTTTTGTGAAGAACATCAGTCCTGAGCTAACATCCATGCCAATCCTCTTCTTTTTGCTGAGGAAGACTGGCCCTGAGCTAACATCCATGCCCATCTTCTTCCACTTTATGTGGGACCCCGCCACAGCATGGCCTGACAAGCGGTGCGTTGGTGCATGCCCAGGATCCAAACCCAGGCCGCCAGCAGCGGAGCACGCACACTTAACCGCTACGCCACAGGGCTGGCCCTGATGCTATTTTAAATAGAATTGTGTTCTTAATTTTATTTTCAGTTTGTTCATCAATCAAGTGTATAGAAATACAATTGATTTTTATATATTGATTTTATATCCTGCAGCCTTGCTAAACTAACTTATTAGTTCCACTACTTTTTTAGTGGAGTCCCTAAGTATTTTCTATATACAAGATTATGTTACCCATAAATAGAGATAGTTTTACTTCTTTCTTTCTAATCTGGATGCGTCATTTCATTTTCTTATCTAATTCTCTGGCTAGAACCACCAGTACAATGCTGAATAGACATCGTGAGAACAGATATCCTTAACTTGTTCCTGATCTTTGGGAGAAATTTTTCAGTTATTTACAGGTAAGTATACTATTAGCTGTGGCTTTTTTGCAGATACCCTTTGTCAGATTGGGGAAATTCTCTTCTATTTCTAGTTGGTGGAGTGCTTTTATCATGAAGCATTGTTGAATTTTGTCAAATGCTCTTTCTGCATCTATTGAGATGTTAATGTAGTTTTTGCCCTTTATTCAATTAACATGGTGTATTGCATTAACTGATTTTCACATATTAAATCCAACTTACATTCTAGGGATAAATCCCACTTGGTCATAGTGTACAATCCTTTTTATATATTTCTGAATTTGATTTGCTAGTATTTTGTTCAGGATCTTTGCTTCTATATTCATAAGAGATATTGGTCTGCACACCATATTTATGTATTTATATACACAAATACATAAAAATCTATGTATTTATATACACAAATACATAAAAATCTATGTATTTAGACTATACTAAAAAAATTACAAACCAAATACAGTAGTCCCCCCCTTATCTGCCGGGGATATGTTCCAAGACCTCCAGTGGACACCTAAAACCATGGATAGTACCGAACTCTATAAGCAATATGTTTTTTTCTAAACATACCTACCTATGATAAAGTTTAATTTATAAATTAGGCACAGTAAGAGTTTAACAACAATAACTAATAATAAAATAGAGCAATTATAACAATCTACTGTAATAAAAGTTACTATAGATCTTAGCAACCTCAGCATATGCTTTCTTTCCTTATTATATCTAGAACTTTCACCTTTTTACTTAAAGGAAGCACTTCACGGCTTCTCTTTGGCGTATCCGAATCGCCAGCATCACTACTCTTGTGCTTTGTGGCCTTTATTAAGTAAAATAAGGGTTACTTGAACACAAGCACTGCGATATCGAGCCAGTCAATCCGATAACTGAGACTGCTACTAAGTGACTAACGGGCCGGTAGCATATACAGCTCAGATATGCTGGATAAAGGGATCATGCATGTCCTGGGCGGGGAAGCGGAATGCCTGTGATTTCATCATGCTACTCAGAACGGCAAGCAATTTAAAACTTATAAATTGTTTATTTCTGGAATTTTTCATTTAATATTTTTGGACCGTGGTTGACCGTGGGTAACTGAAACTGCAGAAAGCGAAACCGCGGGTAAAGGGAGACTACTGTTTTTCAATCATCTTTGGAAGTTTCCAGGATGTTGTGATGCACCACACAGATTCCCTTTTAGGAATGAAAGATTGCCTCTGCTGAAGAGAGTTGCCTTGCCCAAGATCATGCCCCATTCTGGGAGAAGCCCACAATTAATGGCCATCCAACAGGAGGGTACAAAGGCCTGGTCCCATCACCCCAACTGGAAACAGTTCAAAGCTCATACCAGTTTAAGAACTACCCATAAGGTCAGCGGAGGCCTCCACTGAGACAGCAACAAAATTCAGCTTCTTTCTCTGCACAATCCTGCTTCCTTCCCTTCCCTTTGATCTCAGAGCACTCCCCAACCTCTTTCATGTTACTCTCCAATATTGCCTGTGGTCTAAGTTTAGATACTCATGAAGATTACTGTAAGTAATATGCTCAACAAATCCTATGGGCATATCCAGATTACCTAACTTTCATCATGGGTTAATCTATGAGAAAGGCAATACATGATACTGATTACTCTTTGGTGTCACGTGCTTAACACCAACAATCTATGTGACCACAGCAACACCCAGTGATGATAAACTAATATTATAATTAGTAACCAAACATTTGCCCAAGTAGTAGTTTTTAAATCATGGTCAATACTCAAAGTATCAGGTAATGTTGATACTAGTATTCTTCTGGTTAATCGCTTGGGAAAGTTCCCACAACTATTCAAGTTGGGATTAAACAAGAGCATACACACGATTCTTCTAGAATATGCTGGAGTGGATCAAATTATATTAACTAATGCATTTAAATCAGCGCTAACAGGATTATCAGATACTTGGGTAATAAAAATAGCGTTACTTTTCTTCACTTTTCACCCAAACATTAATTCCTGCAAACTTGAGGGGAACTGGGAAATAACTGCTGGAAAGCTAACACGCTTTTATGGAGAAACAAAATGTCATTTTTCCTTACAACTGAATCAAACAGGGGTATGGACTTAAAGTTCATTAGTAGTGATAAAATAATTTAGTGGGTCGAGGCCAGCAATAAAAAAAAAAGATTTGCAAAGACGCTATCAGAGTGCATTTTATTTACTAAGGTATTGTTTTATATGTATTATATGCATATCTATGTGATGCACGTGTGTGTATTCAGGGCCTCAAGATAAAATGCATTTCTTACTTTGCATCGGGGTGAAACATGTTTGAAAGTCTCAGACTTTGCTCCCCAAACCTGCAGCACAGGAAAGGCTGTGGGCCGGTCGCGGGTCTGCAGCGCGGGGCCCCCTCCCCTGCCTCTCGGTACTTACGAAGGAGTCGCTCACAACTAGCACCACGTTAGGCGCATCGGGCCAAGCCTGAGCTGCTCCCCGCCTTTGCACAGCTGCCCCGGGAGCTGGAGTCGCCAGCGCCGAGGCTGCGACCACCAACTCCCACAGCAGCAGCATCGCGTGTAGCGGTTTTGAGACGCCAGCCGCTAGGCGTTGAGTCTGCCTCTTTCCTCTATCAGGGAAGAGGAGGGCAGGGATCTCAGAGTTCACAGCTTGGTTTCCTCATAGCACTTCACCAGCAGAACTACAACTCCCGTCAGGCTTGGAGTGAGCACATGCGCAAAGGAGGAATCGCCTGCCTAACCTCACAAGACCTTTTAATCAAATACCGAGCGAACTCCCCTCCCCCCCTGCCGGGTCACTGTCAGTCACGTGGGCGATGCCAGGGAAATGCGCATGCGCTCTGGCTCTAGACCTGGCGTTTGTAGGAGAAGCATCTGTCCCAGGTGGGTTCCTGTCGCTGTCGCTTTTGCAGAAGTTGGAGTCGGTAAGAGGTTGAAATGGTACCTAGAGTGAGAAAGGATTAGGGACCGGGGCTGCTCGTTTTGCGCCGAGCAAGTGTGGCTGTTACGCGAGACCCTGAACGGGGCGATGATGAGGTGGCGCCGCGGCTGTCGCTTAGTTGGATCGGGCCGTTCTTTGTGGGGCCTCTGGCTGAACTGTCTCAAGTGTGATGTGGATACCGTGGGACCCCTCGAATACCTTATCCCAAGGAAATTTCTAGTCTGCCTCGTTTTATTCCCCGCTTTGCCCGTGCGGTAAGGATTTATTGTGCTCCGGTGCGGTGAGGAGCGGGGCCTAGTAAATCAAGTTTTAGGTTCTAGGCGGGGAGGAGCTTGGGTGTACCTTGCCGTCAGAGTGCAAAGGAGAGAAACCCAACAGGCTCTCGGAGGAAGAAAATGTTGGGCTGTGTGACATGTTCCGTTAATTGACGTAGGTTCAGAATACCACGGTTTTGCTGCGGGAAAGTCACTGGTCCCTCTTGACTGTTCAACTCCTTTGGAGATGTATGGAAGAAGCCGATTTCTATCCCGGAGCCAGAGTCCTAATTTCATTATTATGGTTTCAGGTGTATAATTTGCGCATCACATTAGTCGTTTTAATATTTTGACAGGAAGAGGAGGAGTTGTAGTACTTATTTAATGTAAAATCAACTCTTAATGCTAATATCTGACAGTGTTTTTTACATAAAATAATTGTAATAAAGGACAGACCTTATTTATTTAATATTCACATAGCATTTATTATGTGCTGAGCATTATACTAAACATTTATCCAGCACCTACTGTGTGCCAGGTACTTTTACATGGAATGTTTTCCATAATCCTCGCTTTCACCGTTTTGCAGATTGGAAAACTGAGGCTTGAACAGGTTAAATGACTTTTCCAAGGTTACACAGGGAGCCAGTCTGAATAGGACCTGAATTTGAATAGTCTGTGCCCTCGTTTACTGCAAAACTCTGTCACTAGTTAATTACAAAATCTCATGACATCCTATTGAGCTTAATCTCTATTAATGAAGCAGAATTGTTAATCAAGCAGCGTGCTGAAGATCTATGGGAGCATACGAATATATAAACAGTAGTCCCTGTCCATAAGGAACTTACACTCTAGGGAAACAAAAGTGAAATAATAGTACAGCATGGAAGGTAATACAGGTATACTCCCTCATGAAGAGGTTATGTTTCAGAATTTTGTTTTGAGTTAATTTGGAACGTACAACACATTTTACCATAGAAACGATGTTGACTGCCGTTTAGATTCATAAAAAATATATTTAACTTATCTGTGGCATAGTACTGAGTCTGTGAACTGTGTTTACTCTCTATGGCCTTGTTTTCACAGGACATGTGTTCTGAATTCCCAGTCAGGGTGACAGGAACACATCTTTTTCTTTCTCTCTCTCCCCTTGACAGTGTTAGTGGGAGCAGGTACTGCAGTGGGTTGGAGCAAGGTTGATATTCTAGGGCCCCAGACATATAGCACAGGAAGAATCTAAGAGGCTTCTAGTCCTACATCTCATCTGAATGTTGTAGTTTGTCCTACAACATTCCTGCCAAGTGGATTGTCCAGTCTGTGCTTTTTCATCTCCAGTGATGGGAATCACACTTCCTTTTAGCAACTCCTTCCACATTTGTACAGGTCTATTTATCAAAAGTTCTTATTTGAGCTGAAGTCAGCCTTTTAACCATTCATTGGTCCATTTTTCTTCACTTTTACGTGAATAATCTCTCCCTTTCAACAACCCTTCTCACCTCCCTCCTCACCATTTCCCCCCCCTGATCTTGCCCAGTTCTTTCAGCTAGTTATTATATAATTTCAGGTTTCTTCATTATTTTGATTGGTCTTTTCTAGACATAAATCATTTCTGCTAATCAGTAACTTATCCTATCAGAAAAGGTCCTTTCAGGGTATATGTGTGCATCTCTGTGTGTGTATATGTATGCATATGTGTGTTGCAGTGAGGGTAGGTGCTCCATTACGTGTATGTTTAAGTCATCAGTGAAAGATTTGTACGTTAGTGATTGCTTGCTTTAGTGAAATGCTTAACTCTGTGGTTCAGAAAAGTCTTCAATTGGAAGTCTTGGTTTAGGTTTTGGTCTTTATAGTTCTTTTAATGTCCAAAATACCAGCAGCCCTATATTCTGCCTTAAGAAAAGGAGGCTAAGTGTGCAGTTAGCGATTACGTGGAATAAATTCAGTATTGTCTTCACCTGCTGTGAATCTGTGAATATTTGTTGAACCAGATACTAGGAAATAAAACATAGTGACAGAAGTAGTCTTTGCTCCTAAGGAACTTCCAGTCTACTTGTAGGAAACCACACATACACCTGTAAATTTAATAACAGTATAAAAGGTGTCAAAAACTACAGTTAATTGCCAAACAAAAACCAAAAAATCCCAAATTGTACTTCGGAGAATGCTAATGTGCTTCAAAATGTTAATTGATGTTCATCGAAATAAACTTTCCATAATAACGTAAGTTTCAGTGTTGCTGGGATAAACCATTTTTGGGTCTTTGCTATAGGACGTCTCAGCCTTTAAAATGCTAATATACATTGTGACTTTAAAAGAGTGATATATATGATGTTCAGTATTCACAAAATTACTAGGTCATATATTAAAACCCTTAAGCATGTTAATATTCCTTGGAATACATTTTTGGAAATATTGGTATAGATAATAAGTGTTGTAAGTTCAGATTAGTGTGAGATTTGTCTGAGAAGACTTTATGCTTGACACTTGAATTTGGCCTTGAATTAGATCTAGCATTTGAGTAGACAGAAGTAAGAATGGACAGGCTGAATGGGAGAGGTAAAGGTGTAGATGTGGAAAGTGCTGGGGCGTGGTGAAAAAGGTAATGTGAGTTAATATTGAAAAGGAGATTCTTCCCTTCACTTTACCAAATTGAGAATTACTGCCTTTCAATAGTGGGGAAACTAAAAGCTAAATGTTTTTGGTAGTCTTTGAAAGCTGGAAGATCGTAGTACTCAATAAGTGTTGGATATGTAAGGAAGACTGAAGATATATTGCCTTTATTTGGGGCTTTTTGACCTGGGAAACAGGACACCTTTATATAGAACAATAAAAAGCATCTGTTAAGTTGCAGGTGAATAGCTCAGCTAATAAATGCTTCAGTGGTTCTGAGGAGGGAGTGGTCTCTGCTGCAGGCTTTAGTCTAGTAGTGTTCATGTAGTCACTGATTTGAAGAGGATACTTGTGTTTGATGATAGCCATCCTTTGAGGAACATAGGCAAGAAGACTACTTCTTGAGACATCAAGGACGGAGGGGGTTGGAGATTTTAAATGTGTAGAGAAAGTATGTAATAACCACTGTGGGTTAGGAATGGGAAAAAAAAGTAGTGAAGTTGATTGAGAGGGTGGGAGTAGATAAGGAGTAGATAAGAGAAGTAATAGATACCGTGTGCACGCACTCCATCTATGTACATGTCAGGTGAGTGATCCTTACTTTACCAGTGAGGACATAGGCTCGGGGTAGTGAGTAAGGTGCCCAAGGTCTAATGGGACTTGAACTCAGATCCTGCTGATTCTTAAGCCCCTTCTCAAACAGGTTAAGTCTTGGCTTGGTGGGTGGATATGGCAGAATGGAGGGACTGACAAAATCTGGGGTATTTTGTAAGAATAGAGCTAAAGGACTGAGTAATAAATTAAAATTAGGTTGTGGGGGGGAGTCAAGTGTAGCTGGATGGGGCTGTAAAGAAGTTACTGAAATGGAGAGTCAGGTTTTAACTCTTATTTTACCTCCTCATCCCTTTTTTTAACTTTTATTTTACTTTCCTAAACGTTGTTTGGATCACAAGACTTTCTTTTCTTACCAGTAAGACCCTTTTCTTTGGAACTAACCATCCTATTTAAGTTTATTGCCAGTACGTGTTTTAGTTCAGTAAACTCACTTTTCATTTCTTGTTCATTCCCACCTGCTCCACCGAAATTTTGTTCGTTTCCTAGTTCTAAAATAGTGTGGTTTTTTTTTTTTAACTTTATTCAGTTTTTCAAAACCGCCTCAATTCTCTCCTTGAAGCGTTCAACAAAGATTAATTTTGTTTGACAGAATCCATTCCAGGGATGCCGTCAAAAGATACGTAGAATTTGTAGTCGTGTAGAATTTGTGTTAATATTTCAGATGGCTATTTATGTGGATTTTTGACATTTTAAAAAAGTTTTCTCTATTTTCATTAAAGTACAAACTAATCTAGTTGCATGATGTGCACAACTTTTTTACATATTTATAATTCTCTATATGGCTTAGAACAAAGTTCACTTTAGTGTCGTTAGGCTGCAAATTGGGAGTAAATACATGCCCTTAATTGTCCTAGATTCAAAATAAAATCACATAGAAGTAGGTGATCACTCTTTTGGCTCAGTTTTTTATAGTGAAGTTAGTGTATTTTGAGTTTCTGGAATGTTTTTTCAGAATCTTTCTGATTGCTTATGGAAGTTCCTTTTATCACCTGAGGCTATGTTTAGACATGTTTACACAGTTTAGACCAAATTGGAAATTTGGAGATTAAGATGAGTGTCTCTTGGGAAAGAAAAAAGATGAAAAATTGTACATAATTATTTCTCATGTTTTAAATTATGAATTATGAAAGTTGAACCTGATTCTGATGTGTTAAAAAATTCAGTAGGTTTTGGGTTGTGTATGTCATCCTTTTTATGTGCCTAACTGTCTCATATTTTACATAATTTAGATGGATAACGGTTAAGGAACAATCTAAAAATCAATTCAAAAAGAAGATAAAGGTAGTGATAGGAGGTAAAAGGTAAGTGTCTAGAATGCTAAATAATAGGTAATTGAAGTCTACTTTTACTTAATGATTGTTTTTACCAATTCTTTTCAGAGGAAAGATTTAACGGTGTGGGTTATTATGCCAGATTATAGGTCATCACAAAATACCTTTAGGCTTTTGTTATTATAGGTCATCCCGACTTCTGATGGTTTGACTTATGATTTTTCAACTTTACAATAGTATGAAAGCGATACGCATTTAGTAGAAACCGTACTTCAGATTTTGAATTTTGATCTTTTCCTGGGCTAGCGATATGTGGTATAGTACTCTCTCATGATGCTGGGCAGCAAGCCGCAGCTCACAGTCAGCCACGCGCTCATGAGGGTAAACAACTGATACCCTTACAACCATTCAGAACAACTGTTCTGTTTTTCACTTTCAGTACAGTATTTAATAAATTACATGAGATGCTCAACACTTTATTATAAAATAGGCTTTGTATTAGATGATTTTGCCCAACTGTAGGCTAATATAAGTGTTCTGAGCACGTTTAAGGTAGGCTAGGCTAAGCTATGATGTTTGGTAGGTTAGGTGTATTAAATGCATTTTTGACTTAATGGTATTTTCAACTTATGATGGGTTTATTGGGATGTAACCTCATCATAAGTTGAGGAAGATCTGTAGATTTAAAGGTATCGTTTTTTGCTTTTCTGTAATTCCATTGTCATTATTATTCCTATTATTTATTATTGTTATTATTGCTTCGTGAAATCTTTGTATCTGCACAACCGAATCTAGCTTCAGGTTCCATAGCTTTAGCTGGGGTGTGTAGGACATATCAGTTCATCTACCTATATAGTTTAGTTTTGAGGTATATCATTGTCTTTTTGGCATGGTTGTCACTTTCTAACTTTTTTTGTGTATGTGAGGAAGATCAGCCCTGTGCTAACATATGCCAATCCTCCTCTTTTTTTTTTTTTTTTTTGCTGAGGAAGACTGGCCCTGGGCTAACATCCGTGCCCATCTGCCTCCACTTTATATGGGATGCCGCCACAGCATGGCTTGCCAAGCGGTGCTTTGGTGCGTGCCTGGGATCCAAACCGGCGAACCCCTGGCCACCGCAGAGGAGCACGTGCTCTTAACTGCTTGCGACACCGGGCCGGCCCCTCTAACTTTTTTAAAGTGCAGTTGTTGCTACATTTTGTGCTCGATACATTGAGTAAAAACCCTTTTAGGTTGGTAGAAGAAAAACTCATTGAGTGAAAATGTGCAGAATGAATGCTCTTATTTAAAAAAGTCAGTGAGATTGCGGAGAAAAAAATGGGACTAGAGGTATAAGGGGAAAATGTGTGGGGCTGTGGAGGAATATTAAAGACAGTTGTAAGAGAGCTAGATTTTTCTTTGAAGTGTTGGAAATGCTTGGAATAGAGGGAGTATCCCAAATAGAGGACTGTGGGTTACAGGGAATCATTTTGGGTAGTAGATTTTTACTCTGTGAAAGGAAATGGGTTTGATGATACCTAGTAGATCGTGCTCAGTAAAGCTTTGTTTAGAAAATTAGTGAATGACGGGCCTGCCCGGTGGCGCAAGAGGTTAAGAGCGCACCCTCCGCTGCGGCAGCCCGGGGTTCGCAGGTTCGGATCCCGGGCGCCCACCGACGCACTGCTTGTCAGGCCATGCTGTGGCGGTGTCCCATATAGAGTGGAGGAAGATGGGCATGGATGTTAGCCCAGGGCCAGTCTTCCTCAGCAAAAAAAGAGGAGGATTGGCAGATGTTAGCACAGGGCTGAT